CAGCCTACCTAAATAAAACCCACATTTACAACAGTGTGGGCAGGACGCGTCTATAAATCCTTTGTTTTTATTGGTCTTCAGTAATATTCTAATTTTCTGATATGCTGAATTTGAGATTTTCATTTGTTGTCATTTGTAATCATCAAAATTAAACGAAATAAACATTTGAAATATATGAGTTTGTATGTAATGTATGAATATAATATACAAGTTTCACTTTTTAAATGGAATTACTGAAACAAACCTACTTTTTCATGATATTCTAATTTTATGACCAGCACCTGTATATTAGAAGCTATAGCTACAAAATTCATCATAAATTGTTTACTGATGAACTCCAAGTGAGATCTTTGTTTTATATTTTTACTCTAGACAAAAATCCCATCATGACAATCTGTCACGATTAAAACTCTGAAAGCAGCCAATTGATCCCTYGTGCATGTGCATGTGATGTCTTGTAAGACGCAGTGAGAATGGTCATTCACTTTGAAAAAATGTCTTAAGAGGCAGCCCRCTCTCAATTGTGAGCTGGTATAAATCAGATTAGAGACTTTATTAGAGGCTCATAGCAACGTGGATGATATAAATCTGCACAGTAATACACTAAAACTACRTCATGGCCTGCCACAAGCTCTCAGCCACCCTACAAAGTGCCATTTCTCTCTGCCAAGGTCAGAAAGACACAGAGGGGAGAAAAAAGTCATTTTCTCTCTACTCCTCTGTCTGCCTTTTATATTTTCTCTTCTCTCTCTTCAATTATACCTCACAAGTCCACAATCCTAGTGTCCTGGAGCTCAGAGGTGAGCAGACTCCATTTCTATCCATCTTTAGAGAAAACTTCTATGTCACGTCAAGCACCTGCATGGACCTTTATTTCTTTTTTTCCCCTTTTCTTTCCTCCCTTTGCCTAAGTAGCAAGCTAAATATTCAGATGCATTTCACCTCTCTTTCCTCTCTCTGTAGTTTGCAGTGAGCTCAATGCCATTTTACTCTTCTTTATAGCCTATTCCATCTCTCACCATCTTCGAACTTAGCATTTTAGACAAATCAAAGTTAAAAGGAAGAAAGCGGATGACAGAGAGGAAGAAAGTGGATTGCAAGAAAGCAGCGCAGAGCAGATGAGGGAAAGAGGCAAGGCGAGGTGAGGCGAGGCGAGATGAGGGGAAGGGGGAGCGGGAAGGAACAGAGGGCAGAGCAAGGAGTAAAATTGCAGGAAAATAGAGGAATAAAGACAAATATGCAAAAAGATGAATGACTTCAAAAAACACATAAGGAACAGTTTTGGATGACATWTTTGAGGTTTTAAAATTATTCTCGTAGCTGCACAACAAAGCTTCACACCAAAATAGCTGCCATAAAAAAAACAAAGGGATGTGCAGTACTTTGTGTTCCTGAATGTTAAAATTAATCTCAGTCATAAAACAAGAATGCAGTTTGTGAAATACAGTATGTTTGTTGAGTCATAATTTCATGTCTGGCTAATAATTGAACATCAGTTTCATAATTGCTTGACACATAATATTGGCGGTATATTTTTCCTTTAATGAACAATCAGATTTTGCAACAACACCTCCAGCCTAAGTATTTATTAATTATTTACATTTGTATTTTATCTTGTCTAAGTCTTGATATGAGCATTTCTTCAACTTTGTGTGGGAAATTCAGTATCTACAGAAAACCCAAACCGTCAAAGGTGAARATTATGTAAACAGACTCCATTTGTGTGTTTGTGAATAATTCAAACCTTTTGAACGGCTTTTTTAACAAACAAACGGAATCACCTTGCAGACGGTAAAGAGCCGTATGTACCTTTATTACCTTTTTTTTACTCGTAATATCTTTATTTTTCTTCATTAACCACAGAGACAATCCTTCCTCCTTGGTTTTTTTCACAGAAAACAGGCAGAGCGGTGGAGTACAATAGCTCAGGGCTAAAGTGGGATGGGGTTCTGCTTTTAAAAAATGGTTCTGTCCATGTGATGGGATGATGTCATCATGTATCGTCCTATGTGATGACAAAACTTGTTCAAAATTGAACATCTCTTTGAAACAAAYGGATCATCAAGGTCTAGATCCCTTCAAAGAACCATTTGTCCCATCTCCATTCATCTGGGGACCATTTGGCTTTGAGCAACAGTGCTACCACAAACTATGCAACAACATTTTAAAATGAACCACAGTTCAGTTSCACCAATAGATTTGTAGTTACAAATGCGTTTTAAAACAGCTCTAAGTATTCAATGTCCTTCAGCAACATTTTGCTCTTTGTGATCACACAGAGACATGTCATTAGGGTCTTCTCTTCATTGGAAGTACAAAGTAAAAATGGTAATGGAACTACCATATTTATTAGGGTATAATACGATCTCATGTATAATACAACCCCCTTTTTTGAGCTTAAAAAGCATAAAAAAATTTAATCCTCAAACTACCTCCAATTTCATACAGACTTCAAGATTTTGCAGACTTTACAGTCTTTATACACATCAGTAAAATGATCATTGGACTGTTCATTTTATTTTAACAACATATGTACTGTTACTGTAAGTTCCCCTTGGCTGTCTAGGAGCTGGGGGACGCAGCAAAAAAAAGAAACCGGGCAACGAAGGAACAGAACACAGGAGGGTCAAAATAAAGAATGATTTATTTAGTAAAATAAGATGACCTGTAATKGTGGAAATAACCTGAAATGAAAAAAAAATGGAAGAATAAATCAGGAAGTTTTAATTGTGGCAGCGAAATCACTTAATCCCCCAACTCCCAWGAACAAAAAGGGTGCCTGGACTCACAGGGTCAAAGGCTCATGTGGCTCCGCCACCAACTAAAGTAAACAAAACTGTGCACCAAACACCATAACCCCCGTCAAATAACAAAAGGGTCACAAAACTCACCCTACAGAATGGGGAACCAGCACGCCAGAACCTCAGGTACCTGCAGCAGCCCACCAGTACTCCACAAAACACAGGCAGACAATCACCAGCAGCTCACAAGCTGTTCAAATGGCCATAGGCATCGAGCTCAGCTTCACACCAGGCCTCATACTCTGCTCAGAGGGCAGAGTGAAACCACCTGCACCTGCTTAAGCTGTATGAGCTCAGCAGCACCAAAATTAATGGGGAGAAACATACATGCAGACACCACTGCATGTAACATGTACTAAAAGGTATTGTGACAACAAATATATATCAACTGTAGCAGCATCAAACAAATTCTGGCATTTTACACATAGTCCACCAGGATGCACCAACACAAAAGTCAGAGACTTCACATGAGATTTGGGCCATCTTGTGGGGGAAAAGCAGATTACTTCCTACTCGCGAGCGCCCCCCTCTGGTGGGGAAACATTTTTTTCAGGGATACAAACTTTTTCAGAACACCGGTAGATGGCAGCCATTAAAGATGAACATGTGTTTGTTGTTGTTCCAGGAGCGGCCCGGTCACATGCTAATGTCATTAGTTCGTTATCATTATTAAGGGGCAGGACTACCTTTTTTTTTTCTTTTTTTTTCCACATCATGTTGCCTGCATGGATCTGTTACTATCTTGCTCTGAGGCACAAAGGAGTGTCACAGGTAAGCTTGCTTCAACTGCTTTTTGCGTCGTGGTCTCATTTCCGGACTCAGGCATTTTGTGAATGAAGCCGATATTTCAGTTAAAATACACAAGTAAAAATATTTATCCGAGTATAGTACTACCCCCCAACTTCATAGATGATTTTATGGATTTAATTTTATGTATTATACTTAAATAAATATGGTAGATGTATTTCACATTAACACACATTCTCATGAATTGCCAAATATATATCTATACAAAAAGTGGAGGCAAAAAATATGTCTAGATATATTTTTTAAACCTATATTCTCTTGTCAAATTGAGGCTTCTTAAATCAAAACTTGTGAAAACAAGCCTACCTTTTCAGTGTCCATTGCAGTGATGACCCAGACACAGTGTGCATTGTTCTCATATTGAACAGGGTAGTTAGGAGAAGTTATCACCCCTCTGGGCCCCCTTAGATTGCTGCCACAAGTTCGAGCTACAAAACAAAAGAGGGCAAATGTGAGAGACGAAGCAACAAAATGCATTAATAAAAGATTTAGCGAAACATGAAAATTATGCTTGCAGATCTCCAGCAGCCACTTATCTTACAAGCAAGACAGGTTACAAAAGATGGTGGTCATGCCATAAAAATGGGGGAGAAAACAATGATATCCAATACAAACACAACTGGTCCTATAGTTTATTGAACACTGAATTTGGTGATTCGGGTGGACATATATTCAAACACGTCAGCCTCAATAAAAGATTTATTTGTTTTTAAATACCCTGTTTTGTGTTTTGATTTGCTGCAGTTGCAATTTATGTGTTTTTATTGAGTGATTTCTCAATTYTTGACTTTTTTGCAGGTTCAGCAATGAAAAATGAAAAAAATAAAAATAAAAAGTGATTTTTAAAGGCTTATCAAAAATTCCTCCAGGGCATGGTGATGTAAATTGTTACATCATCTTAGGATAAGTCAACCAGCGTGAAAAACAAGCAAACAAAATACACTTTTAAGATGCAAAACATGGCAACATGGGGACAGAAGCTAGTAAAAAGAGAGCAACAAAAATAAAGAGATGGTCATTAAGAAAAAAATGAACCAAAAGGGAAATTGGAAATGCACGAGGCAAGAAAACGACACAGAAAACGCCAGGAGAGAAGGGAGGAAAGAAGAGGACCCCAGATGACTGATCCGACTATTAATTGGAAAAGAGAGCTGAAACTCAGTGTGATACACACAGCTACATGGACACACAGAAACATACTCATTGCAATTCATCTTGGAAACCAGCTTCTAATTAACAGTAAAGTCTCAGAAGAGACTGAGAGAGGCTCACGGGTTTGAATCCCTCATGAGTGATCACACCAGATAATGCAACTCACCAGAGCYGAAGTGTACAGCAGACATTTTTACCCTCGGCCCACTGATCTCCCTTTTCTCACCCTTTCAGTCTTCCCCTCTTTATGTCTTTGTTAAAATCTATACATTTTGGTGGAAGACATCTATTGAGATGAATAAATGTCAAACAAACTGAACAAAACAGATCCCAGCTGGCACCTTGTTAACACAATATTGTGTCATCCTGAAAATTTCCCTGGTGAACCCTAATCCTGTCCCACACATATCTTTTGGCAGTATGAAAATATGGCAGGGAACATTTTAAAAACATCCATTTTATGAATTAGATTTTTGTAATACATTTTGATTGCAAATAAATTGAATAGTAAATATTCTACTTTAGATGCTTCATAAGTCAATTTATATTCAATTTGATAACAGACCAATTTATTTACTTCAATCATAAGTGCACAAGCATTCTAATGTTTTTTCTCTTTACAATAATGTTTTGTTTTATTTTTAGAGTCCACTGTCACCCATCTTAAAGGGGGCATGGGCAAAAGCAACTTTTTTTCAGGTTTTTTTCGTATTACAATGTCATTCCCACATCAAAAACATACCCAGAGTGTTGCTTTGAGTCATTCATTCATGTTTGAGGAATCCTTGCATCTCCTGTGGTAACATTTGGAGCTGCCTAAATGCATGCTGGTAAAAAGCACCGCCTATTTGTACATAACTCCTCCCTGGAGGAGGAGGTCTGTAGTCGAGCTCCCGCCCCCATCCCCCGGTGAATTGTTGTGAAAACGTGCTGAAGTGGGAGTTTTATAAACCGTAAGAGGAAGAGACAGGGGCCAAATTCGAGGCGTTTAGATAAACTATGATGCAAATTAAAATGTATTGTTTTGATGTATACAGTATTTTCATAACAACTGAAAGTAACATATTTACTTTATTGTGGTACAGAATTGAACCAACATGTGCCTGGAAAATGCATTTACCCCACTATTAAACAATGCAGTATAGACCATCTTCTAGAAAACCTTTAAAGTACTGGATCTGTTCTCCAGTTTGAATTACAAATGCGAGCATTTGTCATGTGTCCAATGTTTTAATMTCTGATAAATTTATAATGTTATTCTTTTTTTCTGTTTGAGTAGGAACAGCAACAACAAACATGCATGAATTTCTGATCAATGTTTTGGGAGAAAGCTAAATTTGGAATTTATCTTTCACCATTTTACTTTCACATCATCAATTGTTTCTGACAGGAGTTGCCAGAATCATGAATTTAGGCATGTAGCTGCGGTCACAGAGAGCCATGCAGTCACAACACGGGCACTAGTACACATACACTTAACAGCACACAGCAACACCATAACACGATGTGACAGGGACCCTACAGTATGTGTCTGAGCACAGGGACTGGCTGTCCATCAAACACATGGACAGTTCAAGGCCCACACTGCAGCACATATTAGTGGTGTGACATTATCCTTTGGATACTTGCTTTTTGTGCATGTGTGCATGAGCGCGCACACACACACACACACACACACACACACACACACACACACACACACACACCCCCCCTTTGGGGTGTGCATATTGGCTGTCTCTTGTTGTATTGTGAAGCTAGCAACCAAACAGGGTATTGTCAGTAAACATAGGGGCAGTGGGAGCCTCTGCATCACTCCTCTGCCAATCATACATTTGTTTATTTAGCTCAAAATCAACAATAGGAAAACTGTTTTAAAGCTCAATTCCTAATGTATAGCTTTAACAACTTAAAAACTTTTTTCTAATGTAGTAATTTACAAATGTGAATTAAATGATACAAAATATGAAAACACCAGGTCAAAAGATAAACAGAACATTTAATTTTTTATTTGTTATTGCTTGTGGCACTGAAATAAAGAAAATTCAAACAAAGGAAATTAAAAATAGCCATTAGCTCATCAATCCGGTCAAAAATTAATTATATTTAAATTCTTACGAATGACTGTAAAAAAAAGTTATTTTGAAAATATATATTATTTCATTACCTATTGACAGAACCCCACTACAAAAGAAAAGTACTGGGGCTTGGTTTTGGAAGAAATACCTTATGCAATGCTATTTTATTGGGGAATGCTGGCTTTATTAATTTATGTTTTAATTATCATGATAAATTTTATATTTTTCATTTACTGATTACTAACTTGATCTTACAAACATGTATTGTGTGTATGGCTACATCCCAGTGCTGCCATGTAATTAAGCTGCAGTGCAGAAACTATTAGAAAACAAACAAACTTAAAAAAAAAACTAAACCTAAACATTCATAATTAGGCATTTGGATAACATGGTCCTGCTTTACGATTAGGATGCAGGTCTGGTTTTATAGCTCCGTTACCCACAGGAGCTCAGAAAAGACAGGTCTAAATCTGCACCTTCAGGGCAACAATACTTGTGATAATAACTTTCTATTGCCAGGCGAAGATTAGACAAGATTGTCCTTGACCACAATGCAGAAATCCAGAAACCCAGGTCAGCATCTGGCAGCTACCATCACAATCGCAGTAAAAAAAATGTTATGCATTAAAAAGCTTAAATGAGCCGTATTTTTATGGAAGAGAAAAAATGCCAACCCACCCAAAAAATAATCCTATTTTATTTATCTAAATAATATAGTCAATACCAAAGCTGTCGGAATTTAAAATCCATGATAATAGTGAACCAGACTTCCATGACCTTTTAAAACTTAAATGTCACATCTCATAAGGACATTTTAATTTCAAAAAAATATTCCGTGACATCTTTGCTTTCTTTAACATTATATTTGCTTTCATCTCTGTTTATTTTTTGCCAATATCACAACACAAATATATTTTTTCAGTAGACATCTCAATGTTTTTTGTGGTCAGTATTATATAGAAAGCCTGCAACACTTGAAAACCGAAGGACAGTAAAGCCATTTCAGTGTGAATGACAGTAAAACTTACTTCTGCAGATGGGTCTGTGGTCACTCCAAGCAGCCAGTGTGTCAGTAACCCGCTGACAGGTGATACTTTTAGAGCCCTGCAACACGTAGCTGTCATCGCAACTGAACTGGACGCTGGAGCCAATTCTGAGTTGAAAGAAGCAACAACACTTGTCAGATATATATATATATATATATATATATATACACACATACATTTTATTTGTAATATTGCAATATTCATCAACAAAAAAGGGAGAACAAAATGCAATAGTATTTTTTTATTTATTTATTTATGTATTTATTGGGTTAGTTTTTTGGCATTTGTGTCATTTCTTTTAGTTTTAAATGTTTTAAGGACTATTCACCACACTTGCTATAAATTGTTCTAATTTTTAAATTCTCTCAGAAACCCTGCTGTCTAACACCGTAAGGGATATTCACCCATCTCAGTGAAAGCCTGTACACCATCTTGTCTCCTGCTTAATGTAGGAAAACTCCACAGTGTGTACATGGTCAAACATTCAAAACACCCACTCCAGTTAGTGATCCCCATCCTGTTTTAGCTTATTGTAGATGTTATGCAACCGGGACCAAAGATACAGCCCCAGATTTCCACCACAGCTTAAAAAAAACATTCACTGTGCTCAGTACAAATACAAAAAATATGTCTTCACAACTATAATATATTGCATGTATCATAATATATTTATGACCCCATTCCTAATTATTTAGCTTAATGACTAAAACTAATAAAAATTCTTAAACGCACACTGAACCCACCTATGCCAATATGCAAACACACCTAAATGCACACGTTGGCACAAACTCAGAGGTAATGACCTTTTACTCACTCAGAAAATGCCATTATTAGTAAGAGAGTTTGTGCAATAATTGATGCTGACAGTAAGAAGAAAAAAGAGCAGCATAAGCAGGAGATTAAAAGGTAATTATCATTACAAGTTTTTGGGGGCACACTGGAAATAGGCTTGAAAACAGCCTGTTTTTAAATTGCATCAAAGGAAAATTTGCACCAGCTTAGCTGCTCCTGATGCTAAGTGAGCAAGTTATGAGGACAGATGATCATTTTATCCTCACTGCTGCTTGTATAAAATGATGTCTTGAGTTGTACTGATTAGATAACAGACACCTTGGGCTGATTTCGTTGCATCCACCCAGTTTATTTTTAGTGGCCAATGTGCCACTTGAGAACTTATTCCTTGCAATTCTTTGTGTGTAACCCCTGTATGGCTGGACCCTGGAGAAGGGAACTGGGACATGAAAGCAGCCCTGGAGTTTAACCTGAGGCTACAACACAACACTATCAGCATGAGAAAACATTGAGACAAGGTTGTCTGAATACCCTACCAGATATACTATTCTACAAGTGAATAAATGTGCGGTAGTACTCTAAATGTAAGAGATACAACTCATTCAGTTTTGTTGCAGAGTCACATGTATCTTCGTAGTAAACATCAATACCCACTTTTTACTGTATCTTACTGGATGTAAAACAAGCACACATTGTGTCAAAGTTATGTAAAAAAGCTTTGTGTTGCTTGTCGTTTAAACTATTACTTTTTTGTTACAGTTAAAAAAAACAGTTATTCAATACTTTATGAAAGTCATTTTTGGAAGCAGTTCAACCTTAACTTGTTTGAAGAAAGTCCTTACAGGTTTTGTAGAACTGGATTTGGGCCTGAGATTCTCTAAAACGTCATCAAAGTGTGACTCAGGTTATTCTACAGACAC